TATAGTGAAATCGCAATCAAAGTCCAGTTGACGACCAAAACTGTCACTAATATAAGGATTGGATGTCTTTCGATGACTCGCGACCACCTGTTCTCACATTCAGTACAAGACATCAATCATTACTTCAATCCATTCATTGAAACCATTTTCTTCATATATATTAAGACATAACTTATCACAAAAACTCTTCACTCTATCAGTTAAGACTCAAATCTAACCACAATATAGACTACATATGGCTCACGAGGAATGGTTTTCAACAGTAAAGAAGTTGCATTCAAAAGGGGGTAATAATTGAATGGACACCTAATTGGTGTCATCTACTCAAGAGTTACTCAACTTCTACAGCACAAGACATGTCTTAAATGTGAGGTCAATATAGCATATCATATGTTTAAGAATAACGATCAGGGTCAAATGTCAAACAGTGGTAAAACATACACATTAGGTCTCAATACTAACCACATCTGTAAGCTGTCATCCAAACGATGTCTTCACTTGAATCACTTGTATATCAACTGATCCATCACTTTATGAAACAAATAAAAGCAAACAAACATTGAATTGACACTGGTCCATTTGAATAACCCCACCAATGATCATAATGGAATAATTGACACCATGGTCATAAATGTCAAACAAACACGTGTTATACTAATAATAATGGTCAGATAACTATAAATGATATAAATGATGACCACGGTCAGTTATATAATTTGTTTGACAATGAAACACAAAATTATAAAATGTTTTCAATGAATAAAAATTGTTATAAAAACTAAAATATGTTTTAAAAGTCATTCAAATGAACGACAAATTAATTGCAAAACATTTGACATTTGAAAGCATTTCTTGTTTACAAACAAACCATACATTGAGTCAAATGTGACGTCATTTGTGTGCAATCGATGGCAACGTTTTGAAGACATTCACCGTTTTTGTCATTTATTTCATTTGAAATCATTTCATCTGTTTTTAAGACATCTTTTAACGTATTTTAATTGATTGACACAAACGATGCCGCGATTGGCACAAGAAGTACAGCCCGAACCGGAAGGTCCGAAGTTTGTGGGCATTAAGTTCTGTCAGGAATGGTAAGTGATGTCTGAGTGTCACCACTGCTGACCATTGATTGATCCATTGATTGATCCCCTGTTGACAGCAATAACATGTTGTATCCGCGCGAAGACAAGGAGACCCGAGTGCTGCTCTACGCCGTCAGTATTGATGACATCTAACCATTTGTGGCAATAATTAAGACAATTATTGATTGATTTGTATTTAGTGTCGAAACTGTGATTACAAACAAATCGCAGACAATAACTGCGTTTATGTCAACAAAATCACACACGAAGTCGAGTTAGTATTGAATGCCATTTGAGTCCATAGTTGTACACCATTTCGATGACTATTCCTATAATTATTATAATTATATTATAGTATTATATAATATATAACTCTAAATAACAGTAGAAATAGTGTATAAGTATTAGCGGTATATATGTCTTAAGAGTAATGACTAAGGGATCAATTGGTGATTTTGCAGTGAATTGGCGCGTATAGTGAGTGATGTGATTCACGACCCAACACTTCCACGAACTCGAGAGCATCCCTGTCCTCGTATGTGAGCTATTGATTGATAGACGAGTGGAGTGTTAACCGATATATTGCTTGTGTTATGTAGAGTGCGGTCATAAGGAGGCCGTCTTCTTTCAGGGCCAGTCCAGGAGGGCTGAGGACGACATGAGGCTCTACTACGTGTGCACGGACTCCAAGTGCTCTCACAAGTGGACCGAATGAACACTACTTTTAACCACTATTTTCATTATTTTAGACTTTAAATCATTTGAAACATTTTCATAATAAATAAATCTTTAATTTTTTGGTCATTTATGTAATAATAAAAGTAATTAAAATTATAATAATGTTATTTTGCAAAAACCCTTAAACTAATATTCCATCTGTAGTTATATCATAAATGGTCGGTTCGGTAGACAAATAAATCATTTGACTTAATGTACTAATGATGTGATGAAGTGTTTGCTAATAGTTCTCAGAATTCACTTCTTAGCCGAAGCAGCCTATAATCAAAGGGACAGACAATCATTGTTTGAGTTATAGACAGTTATTAGTAAATCATTTAATTATTTAAAAAGTAGTACAAAACAAATGTGTGTTAAATGGAAACAAACAAATGTGTGAAAAAGCATAGAAGCGTCGGATCCCGAAGCAGAGCAACACATTTACAGTAGACATACATTGCATAGAAAGGACGGCACGTGTGAGACATAGATTACCTCTAATTTTAAAACTTTTCACTTTTAGATCAGAAGCCCGTTTACTCTGCTTTACAACCGATCATTTGAAACAGCAATCAAAAGGTTTAGAGGAACAGCAAAATCAAAGAACGTTCAAAGGATTCAAAAGTTTAGATCAGCATTTCATAGATATTGAAACAAATCAATTAATTCTGAAAAGTGTAAGTCAAGAATGGGAAGCGAAACAAAATAACAATCATTACAAGCTGTCATTTCCTCAAACTCAAACTTAGCCTAATCATCATTAGCCACAGCTGAATTTCCCAAACTTGCGTAGTTTCTTAGAGAAAAAGAGCAAACGTTTGAATGCAATTCAATTGTATTAATAATACTGTTTGAAACTAAGTTACAGAATTGGCGTCGATTACAGTGTGTGTCAGTGTCTCACCTCTTGTGTGTTATCACTGTTTTGATTCAAACAATTGTTGGCATTCGTATCGCTGGAACCGTTGACGGGCGCAGAGAGGGCCCCGTTGTTGAGATTGAGCTGAGACTGGAGTTGTCTGACTCTGTCCTCTTCCATCTTAAGCGACTCGTGTCCGATCTTCACCAGTGAGTTGAGCCGTACGTTCTGGAGGTTCAGGTCTTTCGATATCTTCTTTTCCTTGTCCAGAGATGTCTTCAATTCTTCCAATTCTGCTTTCATTTTATCCAATTCTGATCTCTCGCTCTCAAACTCATCCAACTCTTGCTTCAAAACAGAAGCATTTTTTGTCGCCTAAACATTGGTTTAATGTATTAATTCACCAAAATTTTTCAAATAATTTACAATTTCAACGAAAAGCATGACATTAATGAACATTCAATCGGGTATTTCATTGAATGGCAAATCAATGGATAAATTTTCAACTCAAGAGTAACTTATTTGTCGACTCGTTGGGAATGACATGCTTTTCAGTACCTGTCCTTTTTTGCAGACCTCATCGTATTTATGCTCCAAAAGCCTCTTCTCGTTCTCTTCTCCACTCAGTTTTGACTGCAATTCCTTGAGTTTGTCCTCCATTTCAGTGAACGTCTCTTTGAACTCTTGGAACTGAACTAAACTCGATTCAAGTCTTTTGATTTCTTCGCCAAGTTTTGCGTTTTGAGTCGAATGTGTCTTCAGTTCGCTCTCAAACTCTTTCTCTCTTTTCTTGAGATCTCCTTCTTGTGACTCCATTTTGTTTTCGAGTTCACTTAAAATCGATTCCTTATTCAAAACAAACAACATTTCACATCAAATATTAGACATTAACTCTTAAATCACTTACTGTTTGCGAAAGAGTTGACGCGAATTCAGCGCATTTCGTCTCCAATTGACTCGATTTCTCTTTTTCAGAGTTTAAGAGGGATTCGAGTGCTTCAACCCTTTGCTGGTCAGCACCTGAAGACTTATCTGATCGATGGCTCAACTGATCACTTAAAGTGGTTTGAATTCTTGAGATCCAATCCTTACTTTCGGTGTCAAGACTTGGAATAACCGTTCGAAGAGCCGTTTTAATTGAATCGACTTCTCGGACACTATCCTTATTACAATTGCTTGTGTCCACGAGTTTAGTGTTTAGACTTTCGTTTTGTTGTCTAAATGTCTCGTTTTCAGTCTTCAGTTGCCTATTGGCCTCTTCGGACACTTTAAGAGCACTTTCAACGAATTCCTTCTTTACTTTATCGAAGTTAGCGATCGATTCGTTGGCCAATCGATACTTATCGCCGAGTTCTTCATGTTTTCTCAACTGGTTTTCGAACGCATTCTTCGTATTTCTCAGCTCTTCTTTAGTTGCAATCATTTCTTCGTTCAGTTTCATAAACTCCTGTCTCTCCAGGTTTTGGTCTCCATTTTGCTGTTCGTGTTGTTTGGCTTCAGTTAAAGCTTTTTCAATAATAAGCTTTTGTTTGTTTATTTCCGACATATCGTCGATTAAACGCTTGATTTCTGTGTTTTTATTCTCTTCTAAATCTTTAAACCTTTGAATGAATTGAAGGTTTTCTGATTCAAGAGAATTGCATTTATTGGTTGTATGGCTCAACTCATCCACCAAAGCATTCCTCTGAGTCTCACATTTCTGTAACTCTTGTGAGACATCTTTGACGTGTTTCTGATAAGAGGTCTCATCTTTTAGTCGCGAATCACTCATCGATTTGATTCTATTCTCTAATTGTTGGGTCTTTCGGATGAGCTCTTCATTGGTCTTCTGAGTGGCAGACATACGGATCTCATACTGTTGTCGTTCTGTCCTAAGCTGATCCACTTCGTGCTTCACGTGTTGCTCGCCTTTGACCAGTTGTTGGAGTCGAGAGTTGTCCTCTTGGAGTCGAATGGCGTGAGTCCTCTCTTCATTGCACTTCACCTGAATTTGTTGCAACTGTTTCTGCATTGAATTCATTTCATTCCTCTGACTCTCATAACTTTGCTGTAGTTTCATGTGAAGCGCCTGTACTTCGAGTTGCATTTGTTGGCTCTTATCCCGACTGTTCAATTGCTTAGACTTTTCCACTTCTAATTCATTGCGTAATTCTCGCGTCTTCTGTTGCCGACAGCTGTTCAAGAAGTATCGGAAGAGCTCGCGGTGGAGAAAGAGGACTTCGACAAAGAATTCTTGTCGGTTGCCTAGCAAAAAGACGGTTAAGTAGCGAAAATAATAAAAAACAGTAAAAATTAAATTTTCTAAAAACACACAAACCTTTCGCCATTCAGTCGATCCATCGCTTTGTTTATTCAACAAAATGTCTGTCAAGAGTTGGATCTCTTCGTTATTAAGAGTCACTGTCTTCACTATTTCTATAATAGTTTTCGCAGAAACTTCTCTTCCATTGCCTGTAATTCAAAATTGTTGTTCAATTTGAATAAATGTTTTCCAAATTTCATATGTTCTGTAGTGTTTAGCATCAAGTACTAATTATTTGAAAATCAAAATTGTTTGCAGCATTAACTCATTTAATTGTCATCAGACTCGGTATCGATTTATTATCAAAGTCACAACAATAGTTGGAAATACAGTACAGTATTTGAATTGAATGGACACCTCTCCGATAAAGTGTTGTAAGTTTGAGAACTACGGCTGTCGACAAGTTCTTCATAGCCTTCTCGAGCGCCACCTCTTTCTCCTGAAGCTGTTTCTTAAGAACAGCCAACGGATCGTTTTTCTGCCAATTCATCGCTTTTATTATTTTTTGTCATTTTTAAACATTTTCTAAAACACACAAACCTTTCGCCATTCAGTCGATCCATCGCTTTGTTTATTCAACAAAATGTCTGTCAAGAGTTGAATCTCTTCGTTATTAAGAGTCACTGTCTTCACTATTTCTATAATAGTTTTCGCAGAAACTTCTCTTCCATTGCCTGTAATTCAAAAGTGTTGTCCAATTTGAATAAATGTTTTCCAAATTTCATATGTTCTGTAGTGTTTAGCATCAAGTACTTAATTATTTGAAAATCAAAATTGTTTGCAGCACTAACTCATTTAATTGTCATCAGACTCGGTATCGATTTATTATCAAAGTCACAACAATAGTTGGAAATACAGTACAGTATTTGAATTGAATGGACACCTCTCCGATAAAGTGTTGTAAGTTTGAGAACTTAACTCATTTAATTGTCATCAGACTCGGTATCGATTTATTATCAAAGTCACAACAATAGTTGGAAATACAGTACAGTATTTGAATTGAATGCTGTGGAGAGGCTATTTCACAACATTCAAACTCTTGTAAAATACTATCATATGATATAAATGTTATTTATCTGTAATAGATTCATATTGAGCTCTGTAAGCTCACTGTTAAATGTAACACAACATAAAAGTAAATCAATCCCTAACACAACCAAATAGATGTCTTAATTTTGATAAATCTCCGACTAATACATAATATGTTTTAATGTTATAATATCTTATATTCAAAATATATAATTCTAATTTAAACAATGCTCTTATATTTCAAGCATATAACTTAAATGTAACTATATAATCATATAACTAAATACTGCTAGTTCAAATATGTTTTATGAATATATTTATATTTAGTGTAAATTAAATGCAAAATATTTACTGCATATCAAGTTCAAACAGAATAAACCTAAAAATTATCCATGTAAACTATCTAAAAGTGCACTCTTTAACTGTATGTAGAAATCTCAATGTAGAAATTATTACCAATAAGTAGAAACCACTGTAATATAGCTAAGCTTTTAATAGCAACTTTGGGAAAACAGTTTTAAGTTATGTATTTTTAGTCGGCGTCAGTCACTAGTCATAAATAGGGTCTATAACTACAATTGATTAAAATTAAGCCATTTTAACAATATAAGATTATCAGATTAGATAACAATTGGTCCCGTTTACTGTACTATATATTGTCTCAATAAAATGCAATCTAATTTGAATGCGTGGACAACTTTACACGTCAACTATGATGAGCACATGTGTTGCAGATGACCATCACTACCATACCATCTCTTATAGAGAATCATATATTAAAATCGTGTAAAAGTTCTATTCATACAAAGTTCACATGCATTGGATGCAAAAATAAATCATATCTCAAGTGTTTGTCACTTTTTATGACTAAAATATTTGTGAAATGCTGATTAATCTAGTGTCACTCAATGCTGATATGATAGTGACTGAGATTAACAATTAAGACAATAATTTACAATAAAAATAACTAAACGCCTGTTAAACTAATAGTATTTAGGAATGAGAGTCATTGTAATAATAAAGAGCAACTAATTATCAGAAAATAAATCACAAAAAGTTTCAATTAATTGGAGCTGAGAGTCACGCAAAGCATTACTGTATCCTTCAATTTGACACACATTGAGATGGTATCAAAGACTCGACAAAATATGGCAAACATTGTATAAAAGGTTACCTTCGAGTGAATTTTGCTTCCATTTCCTGGACTTTCGAGCGGGCGATGAGTTCTCCGAGTTCTCTGTCCTCAAGACTTCCACTTTATTGTCCACATCAGTGACGAGTTGTTGCGATATATCGTTGTCATAGAAGTTGTTGACTGCAGACAATGCTAATGGCGCTGAAGTCATGTTATAAGCGATAGTCTTCTCGACTATGGGTTCGGCCATCGGTTCCATGTGTTCGGAATCGATGGACTTCTTGGAGGAATCCTTGAGGAGCTCGAAGTCATCTTTGGGTAGGATTTGGTCGAAGGAATTCCTTCCGGTGACCGTCTGATTGAACACTTGGCTTAGATCTATGTTTTGTTCGCTTTTGTTCATCAGAATTGGTTTAATGGGTTTGTCATAAGAAGTCTTTCTAAGCTTAGAAATGTCCACATCTTCCGGTTCGTCGCTCAACACAACCACTTCGGGTTCGCTCTTAAAGCCGACCGCGTGTTCGGTCTTACGGACAGACTCTTTGACTGTCGCCTTGTGCTCAACGGACGGCTGTTGCGGTTGCGACCCATTAGTCGACTTGTCTTTCGACTTCTCCTTTTTGTTTGGTTTGTCTTTCTTTTTCTCCTTCTTCTCCTTCTTTGGTTTGTCGACACTTTTGTTGGGTTTGAGACTAATATCCAAACTATTCCTCCGTCTCTGCTCTTCGATGGCCTCTTCATAGGTTCGCTCTCTGATGCCGAACACAGAGCTCAGGTATACGGCGGCAGACGTCACGGCCACTACTCCCGCACATATGAGGGGTGTCTGGAAATCCATACTTTACGGGTCGCTTGTATTGACTGTCGTATCGTATAATATAAATATCAATATCTTGTTTAGCATATCATTACATAATTGAAATGTAAATTCATTTAATAGTGTTTTAAATAGAAAATTAGAAATCACTTAAAGTAAGGGTTCGTAACAATTGTCTCAACGGTTGTGTGAAAACATGTATTTCTATGGAATGTATGATATGTTGTATAACAAGTTTAGGCCATTATATCATTACTGAGTGTTTCATTCATTCATTATACACTAATTGTATGGTATATACAGTACTGCAACAATATTATAGTAAGTTATGTGACTTACAATCGCATATAATATACGGTATAATACTATTTGTCGGCTCAGTTCAACACATTTAATATTAAAATAACTTATAGATAACGACATCAAAACCTCTTTACTACCAACTAATGGACAAATGAAAACTATATACTTTCAAAACAAGGTCTCATTATTACTAATTAAAAGGCAAATAACCACTAATTGGCTTTGAAATTATGTCAATTGACAGCCATTTAAACCGCAATTAAAGCAAAATCACTGAAATTCAGAGAAATGAATGCCTTTTGAAGACATTTGCGGTACGAGTCATACAAATGACAATACATGACAACAACATGTCATTGAATGGCAGTAAATGTCTAAATGTCTCAACAATACATGCATTACTGGGTGATTGAAATAAATGGTAATCAAATATGTTTATCATATGATAATCATATGATCATCAAATGATCATCAAATGAGTCGACAATGGGTGCAAACAAATGCAATTATAGCTCACATTTACCTTTAAATGCCTTCAAATGCTTTCCAACCAATGTGTAGACGTTTCGCACAAATGTTTTGTCAATTCAAATGAGATATCATTACATTTCACGCAAAAATTAATGTCAAATAAAGTGATGATAACGTGTGGAGCATATGTGACACAAATGCTGGAAGTGTTGGATGTGTTGGAAGTGATGGATGTCTCGCAGCGAACGTAACGTTCATAATATGGACTCAAAGCCAACACTCACTCATATATGCCGTAACCGTAGCCTCTCTTATGCCATACATTGCTGTGCTATTCGTCGCACAGTGAGTGCAGTGAATGCATTGCCACCACTCATGCCATTGAACACTATCCCTACATTTTGTGCACAGTATTTGTGAGTCCATACAATCACTACAATCACCACCACATCACAGGCACTGCACTACACACTGACATGTGATTGACCTACAAGTCCTTGACCATTATTGGCCACCCTGCACCATTTACTAATCATCTGTCACTATCGCATTCATGCAGTGTATCAAACCTGATGACTGACATGTGTGCCATCGTATCCATTGGTTCCGTGTCCTATGGCATGGGATGGACAGGCAGTACACTGTGTTGAGGGCTGCGTTCATGTGATTGTCATTTCATATGCAAATAGACTTGTTTTGCATTCATATGGGTTTGTCATTGAGATAGTGTTGAGTCAAGTGATGCACACATTGGAGTCAATTGGTGTTTAACCTAACAATAGGGCCTCCAATACCGGCGTTTCTAATTCAGTAGTTTCCTGACCCGGGTTAGCTTAGTTGCATTTAGTTGCTTGTTAGTTTTACTTGCATTTCAATCTATAAGATTAATTCGTGTGAAGCTTACACTTAAACGATTACATCGATTGCACCGAAAGTTAAGAATCTTCTCAAATAATGAGATAACGAGTGACACGAAGACAATGTGCCATAAATTGCACGTTTGGTGTCATTCCTAAGAATCCAATGAATCCTTTATAATAAATAATACTTTTGTTTCACTAAAATAAAAAAGTTAACTAAAAAATAGGACTTTTGGGAAACAGTGTCGCAGAGATTGGTCTTCAACTAAATGACTAAAAGCAAAACCATTTAAACTTGATTTGTGTTGTCAACCAACTCTTAAAGACAATATTTCTTGACTACAGTATAAGTTATAGCCGACTGTGAGTAAATTGACTGTACTATTGGGTTAATCTGAGGCCTGGTTTGTTGTAAAAACCGAAATAGTTATAGTAGTAGGGTAACATGTAAAGTATAATAAAACGGTGCAAAATACCAATTATTCTTAACAATAATTTATATCATACGGTCAACATTAGGAAATGAATCTAGTAAATCATTTATTGTACTGTAGGTAGGAAATGGATTATAAGTTTAAGTTTATTATAAGTTTATATACCACTTTTAGCCTCAAATGGTGTGAATTTAGGAAAAGTCATTAAAATTTAGTCAAGAAAAAGTTGTGTTTTGTTTAAATAACTTTATTTTAAATGTTTAATAATTTATAAAATATTCTCATTATAATAACACGAAATTTAAACGAATAAAGTTTTGTATGCTTTCTACATTTCTAAATTAAATGTGAGGTTCTTAATGAATAAAGTAGTACATCGAGCCATTCATATTCTGTGATTGACCAAGGATAATTAGAGATTATTAAATTAAATAATATTTTCATATTATGAAAAAGATGATGAGTGTCGACGAACATAATGTAGTGAGAAATGAGTTGTCAAATGAGTAAATGGTTTAATTGTAAGAAATAATCATTTTATTGAATCCGTACTGAATTATACAATTAGGGTATAAAATATTTGAATAAATCCAATGAAATGATGAGCGCAATACTTTTATATCCTTTTAATAATCAAATTATTAAAGCTTTCCAACACACAAAATAATTAAAAGTAAGTTTTGATTCTAAAAATATGTCATTTTCAAACATTTTCATTCTGTAATCTGTATAATACAATAGAAAGTTAATATAATTCTAATTATGATTATATCATTATACAATAGATAAACAAATATAGAAATGTTATTTGTTTACTCGACTAGAGAGCCAACGATTTAATTAACTTCTTAGAATGATATTTAACTGGATTATAATTATAGTGAATTTCGTAATTATTGTATGAGATATTTAACAGGTTTAACAAGGTGCTTTTAAAAATGATATTAAAAATATTAATTATATTACAAAAAGCTAAAATACATGTGTTGTTCATATAATATATTAATTAAAATGGTTAAGAATTTGCATTTGTAGAATATTCTAGATCTAAATGGAAAGTTTTACCGTATTTACTAACACTACAATAATTATACCAGCTAAATTATCATTGTAAGGGGTTAATAAAATTGTAATCCGTTACGAATAAAATTCATTTAGCATGTTAGCATTGAATTTGTTACTAAATATTCTGTATACAAAAGTGTAAATGATGCCAAAATAAAGGAATGTCATGTCTTATATTGTAAGTACTAGTATATGAACAATATTATGTATTTTGCAACTGAAGGGAACTGGATGTCTTATTCTTGGTGTCCAGCAAATTGGTTGCAAAGTTGTCATCAGTTTGCACTTCTGGAGTAGTGATGGTTGACATGGAAAGAGTTCGTGTCATTCTGTAGTAAATTAGTATTAGATTGTAAGCAAATTTCCAATAAATTCGTATATAGTAATCGTAATAATTAATGAATCTTATTCCACAATATATTCCCGGATTGAGTGACCTATCATATACATTGTCACTTTATCTGACATTTAAATTCATTTGTGCGCTCAAAATTCACTAATACTAGTAATCAATGTTCATAGTGTAGTGTAATGTACTGAATGAGGTATGCATTGTATGTCTTGTAGTGTTGTCTTTGGTGGTCAAGTCAAGTGTCTGTTCTCTAAAATGATGTGTAAAGAGACAAACCTGGCATTAATGAGCTCATGATAATAGTCAGGATAAGTTGACTTCACTTTCTGCAATAGCTTAGCACTAGTTTTACGGAGTGATTCGCTCAGTCTTGTCAATGAGATGCTGTGCTTCATATGACTAGCGCTGACATTATCGGCAATACTGTCCCAGCGCTCAGTTGGCTGTGTTTGCCATCATATGACAAGTGAAGACATTGACAGACATTTAGGCAAAAATATCAATTATTTTATTAAGTGTGCACTTCTATTAATATAGTGAACACAATATAACTAAATCATTAAAATAGAAAACTTCTCAATTGATTAAATGTAAACATGATTTATTTTTTCATTCATTGGAGTATTGTCTCATATTTTGTACACAATTTCTTAACTAATTTTTCCAATTTATTTATTTCGTTAATTTATATGCAAAATAATTTTGAGATTTTGTTGAAAATAATGAAAATTATGTGTTTTTAATATATAAACAATTTTCTATAAAATAATGTGTAAATAAAAATGATTTGAACAGAAAAGAAATGAAAACATTTTATATCACAGACTCTATGCATATATAATAATAATATCGATATATAAATTAAATCAGTACCGTAATAGTATGCATAAAAAACACAAAATGAATAAAATTAAAGTTAAAATAGAAATAAATTTAAAAACAATAAAACATTTTTGTTTTGGTGTTGAAGTGACTGATAATTGATTGACAAACAAATAAGTGATTCTTGATTCGGCATCGGATGTGCGGAAAACAAACAAACAAAATGTGGAATTCATGGGTAAAAGAGAGAAAAGTTTGAAAACAATGTTTAGAGCATTCAACGAACTAATGCTTATTAGATGTAAACAGAGGTGAGTCGGGACTAAGCGGAAGAGGTCGGGCCGTGAAATCCCAAAGCGCTGAATAATTTGGATTTAAGTCCCGATCGATTGCCTGTCACTGATGGGTCACTTAAATTCACATCTGAAGACGTTCTCTGCAATAGTGCTGTCGTTGGAGACGACGGCTGTCGTGACGAGCATTACATAAATGGGAAAACAAAATCAAAGTGCAAATTGTCATTCAGTGCAGCAAACAATAAACTCATATAACAGTTAGTTTACAATTAGTGTAATACAGTACTGGTGTAGGTATCAATTTAGCAATTAGTATGAAATCATCACAATATTACT